TTACATAGAATTAAATTCTGCGTCTTTTGATATATAAACAAAGTTTCTCAATTGAAACCATTAATTAAAAAAATTAATTTAATTTGAAAAAATTGAAAAGTCGGTTGAGAACTAATTATGAGATCAGCTCACGTAGTGGAAACATTGTATAAGATTGTGAATGAGTGAGATCGGTAGAGCGCAAAATTTTCTATCTTTCTACCTAGAAAAATTAACTATTGAACCTCCGACAATGTGCTAAAAATCTAAAAAAATGAGGCGACAAAAGTACGTCGCAGTTCGACAACCTAGCACTCTTCGATATTTTGAATGATGCTCAAACGAGAAAAATGCTTTCAGAGATTCAAATAATAGGTTTTGTAGAGCTTGAAATTCTCGATCTTTTGGTATGTAAAGGAACTTTTTATTTGAAGAGGAAGTACGAAAAAAATGCAGTAATATTTAGTCCAGTTTATTATGGTACACCCGTCAGAAGTTAAATTATGTCTCTGATTCTATCTAATCAGACGCGAACGCCCTCTAATGTGGATTTTTACATGTTTTCGGACGTGCTCTTTCTTACAGTACTCAAAACGACTCTCTTAGACAACACAATGAGTTTCTTGTGGCAGATTTCCTTGTAAAATGAGTTGAAACCAGACAGCATTTTCCTCTCATGCACTGTGAGTGCCAAAAGACTTGTACGCCAATTGGGTTGGTTAGAGATGATAGAAAAAACGTTTTTCTGCACCTTTGCAAAACAAAATTGGCAAGAAAACGTTACAATTTGTCCTAACTGTACAAAATTTACAATAAGACCCATTACCAAGGCATAGAAAACCGAATATGAAATAAAAGGGAAAAGGTCTCAGTCACCGAGGCTTGAAACGAAAAACTTATCAATTGTTTCTCAACTGATAGACCATTACAAGCGCTACAAAATGGCATATTCACTCTTTCTCTACGCGACGAAAATGAGGCGAAAAAGTAAAAACAAAATCCAATATTGGTTGGAAAGTGCTCCCGTTTGGAACATAGCACCACAGTGGGCATTTTTGCATAGAGCAGGCGGACATATGTTTTTTTAACTTAAAGCCTTTATTTTTACTCAATATTGTTTTATTATCTCTCAAATGCCAATGAGATCCGATAAAATTTAAATTCGAAAAAAGTTTTTCAATGAGAAATCTCTGAGGTGGACCCTTGCACTATATATAGGTGAACACATTTTTCTACAGGAAGACTAACAAATTACACTTCATTCGATGCGATGTTTTACGCTCATTCCGAATATATATATAGACTGTCCGATTAGAAGTTTTTCTAAATCGAAAAAACGGCATTTTATCTGGAAAACCACGGTGGTGCACACGGACCAGCACGACTTTAGCGGGAAAGTTGCTGTAGGATGACAGTTACAAATTAATGGTTAAACAACCCTTAAACGTTTCGGAATGGATTTCGAAGAAGTTTGGTCTATTGATTTGTAACCTTTTGAGTTTGGGAGCGTCAACCATTTGGGGTTTGGGAAAGCTGTTAATAAGCCTGAATGAGTTTTGAACTGAATTTTTCCTCTCTCGAACCCATTTAGTGGATTTATTAATCAATCTTTTTTTATAGAGTTCTTTTCTATTGGCTTAACCATCTACGTAATTGCAATTATGACCGATCTATGCTGTGAGTAAGAAAAGAGAAATAAGAGCCAATGAATCGTTACTAGAGGTATAGAATTCTACAGCATATAGTATAAATGTTTGATAAGAGAGGGTAAATTCTACACGCAGTGTATGTAATTGACTACACCTCTTAGTTTAGTAATTATGTTTTATTTGACTAAGAACTTAATCGTTAGGATTGAAAATTATCTTCTGTGAGTAACTTGACATGTTCTACAACATTCACAAATCAGAATCCGTTCATTCGAAAAAACTTTTTGACCAAAAAAGCCCACAGCACAGGTATTAACAGAACAATACGGTGGCGAATGAATATCAAATTCGTGATCAGCATCAAAAACTATCTACTATCACCTATGTTTCAAAGAAGATCGAAGGATCATTATTGGCAAAGTTGCCTTGTCGGTGATAGATCATGAAAGAAAGAAAGAGTCCCAAAGATTAAATTCATTGCTTGTTGATAGGCCAATGAGAACCGAGAGATACAAAAAAGTAAATCATCAGCACGAGACAAACTTCATTACAGTTTTACTCAAGCCTGGGCGTCCTACTGCATGTCTATCAAGAAGCGAGCAGCATCAATATCAGTACAGCTATAGACGATGGATTTGCTTGAATGTAATCTATTTTACAATTTTAAATAAGTTCCGATTGTCAAGGATTTTTAGAAGCAGCATTCTAATGAAAATATTTTCCGAAATGCACTTCAATCAAAATACATGTGTATACTGTATTTTTTTCTCGCAAAGTATACAATAAGTAGAATGCTTAATTGAAGAAACTTTCGATGCATTTGTTGATAAATTCTCATTATTTTTTTGTCAGAAATCGTTCGATGATGTCAGATTTTTTTGGCATTGATATATTTTCTTTTACTCATAGCGTTATTTATCTGAAAGACAGGTGCGTTGGGAATAGAGAAAAAACGGATTCACTCATTCTTTATCTTGAACTTCATACTTATTTCTTAATTCTCTCTTTTATTCTTCTTCACCGTAGCTATCTGTATCATATCTTATGAGTGATCACGAAGGAGTTGGAATTTTTTAAAGTTCACGAATCATCACTATTTCTGTCTGTTTTCCCTTTGTTTTCTATTATAACGAACAAAAAATGAGTCAGATAAATATCATTTTCTCTAAATTGAGCAGAATTTCCTAGAAAAAAAGTAAAGTGTATATTTGAGTATCTAACGGTTAATAAGAGATAAACAAAAAAGATTTGTACGAAAAGGGCTATGAAAACTAAACAAGTGTAAGTTGGAACTTCAAAATGTACAATATGTACTCTGTTTTTTTTCAGTAATGTGTAAACTAAAGTGGCTTTCATATTTTCAAAGTATTTGTACACTTCGTCATTATAGAAAAACAGACATGCACAGAACAAACAGACAAAATTATTGAGAAACAGACATGGAATTAGATATAATGAAACTATTTGTTTAAACTGGAGATGAGGGTAAAGTAGAAGAATCAGATATGAAAGAAAGAGACAGCCAGAAAGAACAGAAGATGACAAAGATTTGAATGAATTTGTAGACCATTAGTGATTGAAATTATGAAGAAACAAATGGAAGAAAAAGCAAGTAGTAATGGATACATTATCAAGACATTTTTTTGAAAAAATGACATTTGAAGGATAATTTACTTTATGATAATAGCTAACTGTCGAATGTTACTTTGTCAAGCATATCGAGGTATTTGTTACACATGGGATAGATATTATTTGTTGGCTGGTGGACGTTCAAAATATGTATTATTGTATAATATTCGTGAACAAATTTTTATCAAACAATCGAAAATTACATATAACAAAAATTTTAACGGTCTCCATATAGATTAGCTAATTAGATGTATTCAACATCCCAGATGATAAAAATGATCAAAATCAATTCATTTAACTCAATCGTATCTACATAAGAAAAAAGAAACATAGAAAAAAAGAATTATTCAAAATTGCGTACAGCTATGACACATTGCCTGCTGATGATTTTAGAATGATATCAAAAGTTTTACAACAAAAAATTGAAATTTTGTTAATTTTTATAATTTTCCGTTTGAATTTGATTAAAAATCAACATGATCATTGCAATTTTATATTTCTTATTTCTTTGAGTTTTTTGTGATATACAAGTCTTCTGCAAACTCTCTCAATAGGAGTGTACAATGAAGTTGTAGTGATAATTTAGTAAAATAATTAGATTTTAAAAGACTAACATTTGACTTGTTTTCTATTATACATATTTTTCATATAACTCGATAATCTATTTGAAACAGAATGAACGAACAAACGATGTTCTCACTCTGTAAATGAATATGACTTTGTCAAAATCTATTTTTAGATAAGTATTATCAGACTAGTTATCTAAAAATGGCTTCCGATGATAAACAACAGATACATGACGATATTGTTGAACAAATTCTATCTGCTAGTGTAGAACAAGTATCGATAAATGAAAATCTTCAATCTACTGTAAATCAATATAATATTTGTGATGATTGTTCAATATGTGATTTAACCGTTCAACTTCAAGAATCACAACAACATCATTCTACTACAACAGATGAGAATAACACTGAACAACAAGATGAAAAACCACGTCATTTGTATTTATGTTCAACATGCTCAGAACGTCGTCGTCAACAAGCAAGAAAAGTATTACAAGATTTAGAAAAATTACAACAAGAAGTTGAAGAACGTTTATCAGCTATTGAAAAAACAGAACGAGAATTAGATGAATGGAGAGATCAACAATTACAAAAAAATCGAGAATTTTGGGATGAATATCGGTGAGTTTAAAGGGAAAAAAACCATCTACATTTGATTTTATGTGAATGTTGAAGTATAGAGAAATGGATTGGTTTGTAGGGAAGAGATGACCTAAGCTAGAGATAATTTTTGGAGGATGTATGTGTTTTAGAGATGCTACCTTTTGAGCGGTAGTTAGAGACCTTTTTTTTGTGTAGTTTCTGTTTACTTTACGTTTTAGTTGAAAACGGAACGAATCGTGCGGTGTTGTGAACTTGACAACAAAAACTCAGAAAGTTTTGCTTCTCTTCAACGATAGTTATAGTTTGTAAACATAATTAATCACCTTTATTCTCATCATTTTAGTCGCCAGGTTGAAAATTTTAGTGCGTGTCGTATACGTACATTGCAGTATGAATATCAAATGCGTGAAATGAAAACACAATTACTTATGAAACGTTTAAAGCGTGCAAAATATATTGCTGAACATATTGAACAATTACGTGACGAATTACATATTGAATTAGAACCGTCAATTTTGGAATTATTATGTTCAGAAAAATTAAAACAAAATTGGGATGACATTGTCATACCCACAACGGAGAGTAGTACCACACCATCAGCAACGACAACAACGACGCCTATACAAGACAAACAAAAATTTTTAGATGAAATATGTCATGAGCTGGATAAATTGGCATTTTTGGATAAACTAAATTTGGGTGCGGCTGCTGACGAGGAAGAAAAAGAGGAGTTACAACAGCGTGGTGCTAAAGTTTAGTGACATATTTTTTATATTTCAGAAATGAATTTTTTTTTTCTTATCACTGGTGATCATTTTATGTTTTCTTAACCCACGGCTTACTTTAATTTAATTTTATTTAAACAATGTGTGTGTGTATGTACCTATATTTTTATCCTTTAAAAATAAATGAGGATTTCTGTGTGCCATGACAACAATACATAATCAGTTAATACTAGATAAGAATAGTAAAGGTAAAATTTCGCTCATTGATTGTCGATCTAGATGAACTTATGGTTTAGTTATGTATTTAATAATTTTAAGATTTGCTTTACAAACAAAAACGTCCGTTTCTATTGAAAAATCGGACAAAAAATTCATTTTATATTCAATTCTCTTGATCTTTACGACATTAATTACTTATTCGTTAGTATTATTACGATTAATGGGCAATAATTTCAAAATAAAAAACATTTTCATTTTCTCTCCTTATTTTTCTTTTGTCTATCGGTACTGTATATCTATATATTTCTTACTTGCGCTAAATGAATTATATTTTCGTTTTCATAAGTTGCGTACATAGTGATTTTATTCTTGAAAATGAACTTTGTAAAGTTCGAAACGTCGAATATAGTTTAAAACTAAATAAAATACTTTTATGAAGTTAAAAAATGCTGCTGTTATCGTGCTTTTTACTTATGTGGTGATCTTCACACATATAATTAAGAGAGTCCTCAGGAATTCGATGTTTTTTCGAAACTTAAGCAACCATACGGTTCAGTAGCCCAAAGTATCATCTTTCAGAATCTGTCTCAGTTTGCCGAAAATTCAATGTTTTTGGAGGTTTTTGAAAAAGATTTCTGAAAGCCCTAAAAGTCACCTTTTTCTAAGTTTCACATTTTAATTAAAATTTTTAAGGTTGTCCGTTTTAACAGACATGGAGCTATGTTGAACAGAGTGTTCTGATCAGAATGATATGTCCAGCAGATTTGTACGACTTCGTCTTGCAGAGTTATACTAGTTTTTCTAAAGGCGCGGAACTATATCTGTGGAACTATGTATGTGTCTACTTTCATTTGAGGCCTCTCGCAGCTTTCTATATCTTCCAACAAAAAAGCCTTTACGTTATTGTTAAGAGCTCCATTTTTTCCCATGTCACACAATAACTCGGCAGCACTTCAACGTTTCAATCTCGAATTCTTAGTGTAAGCTACTAGGACAGTAAGTATTAGTCAATGAAAGCGCCATCGAAATCGGATGTAAGTTAAAAAAGTGTTTTCCTGAGGGGAACCTTAAATCATTTGATATGTTGCAAATCTTGTCTAATGCAATACGTATAGTCGTTCACAACGGTTCAGATGTAATGTATGTAATTATTATGAATTAAGAGTATTCTCCCTTCTTGAAAAAAATTTTCGATTTTACGTTGAATATAGCCTAAAGCAGAGGAAAGCATGGGCTACGAAATAAAGCCACTGCTACGATCTTCTTTTTTTACAAAAGTTATGAATGTTTAAGTTTTTGTTCAAAAGACTAAAAAACAGTATCTGCAGTAAAATCATTAGCTCTATCGGATAAAATTTTAGAGGAGACGTAATGTAACCGGATTAAAGATTGGATTTCTAGAAAATTATATCCAAAACTTTGTTATATGAGTTTGGGCACAAATATTTCGGTTTTCTTTTCTGATTATTCATCTTATGCAAAAATTTGGGCGCAATCGGATGTTTGATTCTAGTTTTGCCATCAATGTGAGAAAAGTGGTGAGAAGACCATTAAAATAAGTAAATTTCGAGAATAAAGATTAGAATCATCAATTTTATTTTAGTAGTAGCTGATCATATGTTATGACAACTTTGGACGGATAAGGATCATGAGAACAAAGTGGGATGGTTTTACTATTGCAAAAGTGTGCTAAAGGTAAATTTGTTTAGTGCTGTTTATTATCCATCCATATTTGTCCTAACGTATCATCAGCTGCTGTTAAAGTAAAAATAGTCATCATACCCTGTTCTTTTAATATTAACGCGTGCGGTATAGTCATGACACTTACGAGAGAACCTCCCCAGGTTGCAAATCGCTTTCGGGCTAAAACCTAGTGGGTCAGAGGTTATCAAGGGTGCTGATTTCATATATAACAATCATTTTGGCCGATAGGTCTTCAGAGATCGGATTTGAGGAAAAGCAGTTTTTCAAAACTCCTAAAAAGTAACCAAAACCTTTGTTAATTTAATCAGATTTCTGATTAAAATGAGAACGAAACCAAACTTTTTTGGTGCCGGTTTCATGCAGAAAAAATTTATTGTTAGTCTCGACCCCGTGATTTGTAGCTTTAGTTGTTTTCACAAACATTTGAACTTTGAACAAAGTGTATCAGCACGACAGTGATTCAAACTAACCTTGAAAACAGCACTATTACTATGAGATTATTAATCGAAGACTTTTAGAATATTGTGTGAGTTCTTTCTCGCAAAACTAGAGTCCAAAAGCTACAGAAACTAAGAAATTTTTATGCTTCATACAAGACTATTTTCAAAAAAACTTGTTTCCGGTCCATAAAAAGTCCCGCGGGACCGGGATCAATCTGCAAACCTCTATTCGTACCATGTACATACCACTATAGTTATTCGATATTTAGTAGTGGAAAAACAGTTCTCTCTGACGTAGACTAAACCGCGGTTTTCGCTTCAGAGGCCCAACAGCAGAGTTATCTAGTCAGATATCAAGCATTCATCAAAATTTCAACTTCATTAGCTTCCTAAAATTAGATCTTGGTAAGGCGTAATTCAAAGTTCCAGTAACTTATCTTTTTGATATATTTCTACATAGTTGGGTAGAGAACATCGAGCGTTGGGTAGAGGAATCAGAAAAAAGTTAGTTTTCATTTTTGAAAACTATTATTATTAGTTATTGAGGGTGAAAATTTCGAAAAATTTCAAAGAACCGATTTTGCTTAAAATCGCTACAGTTTCAAAAAAGTCAAATTTTGCGTTTTCTCTTTACTTTTGGATTTTGAATCTATTTTTTTTGACTTCAGCATTAAAAACTGAGTATACAGAAAATGTTTGATTGATCTCAAACCTAAAAGCTGATTTAGCCTGCTTCACTTGACCTAAGTCTCTAAGATGGCATTAGGTCATTTTACAAACCCATCTAGGTTTTTGCGTAAATACATTTTGCCATTCCTCTTATCTCATCCGAACCATCAACCTGTCAGCTTTAACATGACGTATCACTTTTTTTAATTTAGTTTTGTTGCTTAGAAAATTCATTTTTTCTACAGCAGAGCAAAAATATCGAAATTCGCTGATTCCGACGCTGATTTCGAATATGATATTTTTATTGCAAAAAAGGTGAGCAATGAGAATTACGGAGAGAATTTCGATATTTTTGCTCTGATGTAGCAAAAATGAATTTTCTAAGCAATAAAACTAAATTAAAAAAAGTGATACGTCATGTTAAAGCTGACAGGTTGATGGTTCGGATGAGATAAGAGGAATGGCAAAATGTATTTACACAAAAACCTAGATGGGTTTGTAAAATGACCTAATGCCATCTTGGAGACTTAGTTCAAGTGAAGCAGACTAAATCAGTTTTTAGATTTAAGATCAATCAAATATCTCTCTATACTCAGTTTTCAATGCTGAAGAGGTTCCACTAGGACAGAGACTTTTTTTTGGCATTATGAAAGCTACTCAATTTGCAATGATCGTGCAGTACAAAGAAGTTCAGAAGTATTAATCGTTTCAACAGCATACAACCATCAAGCCAATGAACGGAATTAGTGAGGATTCAAACAAATCATCCAGTTAGTGTATTGTCAGGATGGTACCATTGTCTTGATTCTCGAGTAGTAGTTACTACTCCTAACTTGTATCTTTTTTGTTAAGAAATTGAAAAGTGATTATGTATATAATGTGGGTACGATTAAATATATCGCCAGATCGAAAAATTTTAAAAGCTTGTTCGGTCAAAAACCGATTGCAGATTCGTCTTCTCCATGGTTGATGATGAGGTACGCAATAACTTTTGGACCGGGGTACTTTAGGAAGAAAAATTTCCCATGGTCTTGTTCAAAAATTTTTCAGAAAGTTACCGTATGGGACCAAAGGCAAAATGATGTCGAAATTTATTTCTAAAGTACCCCGATCCAGAAGTTATCGCGTACCACATAATCAACCATGGAGAACACAAATCTGCAGTCGATTTTGACCGAACAAGCTTTTAAAATGTTTCGATCCGGTGACATGCATAAGAACAGCCCTACGAAAGAAATTATATGTTAATAGAAATGCTCATATATTAAGTCCTATATCATTGATTTAATAACTAGTAGAACAGTGGAACATTTCTGTATTATATGATTATTTGATTTAAATAAGTGATGTAAAGCTATTTGTAAGAAGAAGAAGAACGCTAACAATAACAGTTAGTGTATATATGTTTTTGTGTATATATTTCGTATTTAACCGGAGTCGAATTTAATTTAACAAATAAGTATTACTCTTTCAAATTTTCATTTTAATTAACGACTTCTAGGTCGACACCAACGTAGACTTAGAGTAAAAGAAACTGAGGTATTGAGTATATTCATCTCTATGTTGGTTGATGCGCGCAACGCAACTGCAAAGGTATTAAGAAATAATTGTATTAGCAGTAATACTCAGTATACATTTTTTTCAGTACATTTTTTGACAGCGTCTAAAAATGTAAATCAAGGATAAATCCGTCAGTAAAGTTAGCATCCTTGAAAAGATATATTAACTAAATGTAGAGATACGTTACAAAATTCTCATCCAATCAATCCTTTCCAAGATTATAATTGGTGTTCCATATTATTCCTTTAATTCATCGAATCCAAATTCAATAGAACCAACAAACGAACAAAAGAATGAGAAAAGTTAAAATAAATGCGATCTTCTAATGCTAGTTTCTTCTAACTCATAGGCTCCCGTTTAAAGTGACGACAGCTGCATTCGATTTGCTTATATGTAATGCACCATTTTTTTCTCATCTGTTGCTGAAATAATGTTTTTTCTCTGATAATCTCACCCGTTCTATGATTCTGTCTGCTTTTTTTATTACTATTGTTCTCTAAAATTGTACAACTAACTGTTTGTTTAGTTATTTGTGTGTATATTCTATAACTATGAATCATCCATGAGCGATTTATAGCTCGAAAACGAAGAGAGTTGGAATCTATTTGTGACGGCTGAACGCATTTCTTAATAGTTAAATTCGATCTGAATGCGTCTTAACTTTATGAATAATCCAATATCTTGTGGAGAAAAAGTTATTACAGTTTGTACTGTAGTTTAGAATTCTGCTGCTTTCCTCGTACTCACGAGGATATCACAATTTTGACTACAATACGTTATTTCATTTTTGTTACATATTGCATCTAGGTTTTTTCTGTTTTAGATAAGCACATTTTCTTTTCTTTCCTTAGTGCATAATATGCAGCCAATTTTAAAGTTCATCCGACGATGTCCATGTAGTATTCCTGTGATACCAAAACGAACATTTGGGTCGGATGTAAGTAGAATTTATCAAGCCTGTATCGCCTATATATCTATTTTTTTCTGTTGTAGATTACTACTCGTTGGCGTACAGCTTACGGTGGACGTTATACAATAACATTGATTCATGGCGACGGAGTGGGACCAGAATTAATGGAACACGTCAAAGCAGTTATTAGGTGACTGATTTCGACAATTTTTCTTTTCTTATCGTTACAATCAAGCTTTTCATCAAGTTCATGCTTGTTTTTGTTTTGATAAATGAATTTACTCAGTTTAGATGTGTTCGTGCTCCCGTTGATTTTGAAGATATCCCATTGTCAAGTAACACGGCTAATGACGAAATGTTTGAACGAGCAGTAATGGCTGTTAGAAGAAATGGAGTAGCTCTAAAAGGTAAATAAAATCAATAGTTTTTTTCACTTGTTCAATTTTTATGCAATTTGTTATGAACTCTAGGAAATATATCTTCACAAAATACACTACGTTCACTCAATGTTTTATTGAGGTAATACTCTTGTTTTCATTTGACTTTTCTTCTACTCAAAATTTCATCCATTCTACCTATTTAGAACTCGTCTGGATTTATTTGCGAATGTTATTCGTTGTAAAACAAGTCCCGTGGTACCAACTCGTCATCGAGATATCGACATACTTGTAATTCGAGAAAATACAGAAGGAGAATATAGTAGTTTAGAACATGAAGTAAGTACTAGTAGAAGATAAACGATATATTCAGACTATTCTTATTTTTTTATGCTATTTTTGTTAAGAGTGTACCAGGGGTTGTTGAATCATTAAAAATTATTACACGTATCAAATCAATGAAAATAGCACGATTTGCATTCAAACTAGCTGAAGAAGGTAGATTGTTCATGTTGACATTTATAAGATGTAAGTAAAAAAATTTTATTGTATACTTTTTTAGATGGAAGAAAAAAAGTGACAGCTGTACATAAAGCAAACATTATGTAAGTAATCGAAGTTTCTGTTTATAGTATGAGTAAATAAGTATCATATACACAGATTAGATACTGGAAAAAGCCTTAAAATCAGTATTTATACTTGGCCTTTTTTTTAAAAAATATCATGGTATTGTTTGTAATTAGGAAGTTGAGTGATGGTTTATTTATTGATTGTTGCAAAGAAGTCTCACAAGAATATCCCAAAATTGCATTTGATACAATGATTGTCGAGTATGTACTCAACGTAATAATAAAAAAAACATGATGAATAAAACACAGAGTTTCTCTTTTTTCTATTGTAGTAATACATGCATGCAGGTATATGCGTGAAGTTGTGTTTCTAACGAAGTCCTCATTCCAGCTCTCATGTTTATTTTTTAGCTGGTCAAAACGCCTTCTCAGTTTGATGTCATGGTTATGCCGAATTTATATGGTAAAACAAATTATGACAAACTTATTTTTCGGTAATAGAATTTTATCGTATGTTTTCTGATATTTTTAGGTAATATTATCTCAAATGTATGCGCTGGTCTTGTTGGTGGTTCGGGCTTCGTTGCTGGAAGTAATTATGGAGATCATTATGCCATTTTTGAACAAGTATGTGAACGCCTTCGAGCGATTTTTCTGATTCGATCCATGAAGCATGTAATAACGTGTTTTTATATTCATTTTAAGGGCACACGTAATACAGGTACGGCTATAGCTGGCAAGAATATCGCAAATCCATGTGGAATATTATTTGCAGCCGCTAATATGTTACAATACCTTGGGTACGTTTTCCTTATTTCTTTTTCAGTAAATTTACGAAATTAACAACTCTTTATCCTTTTTGATTCTAGGCTAGTAGAACATTGTTCAGCTATAAAAAATGCAGTATTGAACACAATTCAAGAACATAAATTAAAAACGCCCGATATTGGTGGAACTGCATCAACAACACAATTTGTTGAATGTACACTTAAAGAAATACTCAAATTAACACCAACCATAGGTATGAAACGAATGAGTTATTGTGTTAGCATTTTGAAACGGACAAGTTGTTGAGTTCTTCTTCACTACGTTTTCGTTTTATCTTTCCTTTTTTTTCGTGTAAGAGCAAATTCTTTTAATTATTTGAATCGTAAAATCAGAGGTGCAGAATCTGCCGCTAAAATAAAAAAATTTCCCGAGCAGTGGAGTTTTTTCGAAAATTTTTCCCGACTGAGAAAATAAAAAAGAAGGCTTCTCTGTTTCTCTGCCGCATGGGATAAAATTAATTTTTCCCCAAATTTTTTTCTATACCCCCGAATTTTCCAAAAATTTCCCCAACCGACCCTTACCGCACGTGGGTAGATTCTGCACCTCTGCGTAAAATTAGCCCATCTGTGTGATACACTAAAAATAACATGAATTTCTGCAGAATAAGCTTTCGTTGTATTGTACAGAGTAATAAAGCTGATGTCGAATGTTAGAAAATTATTTCATTATTTTTCGAATTGATTCTACTCAATTAATTAGAAATTTTATTTATATTACTTTTTTTATTTTCTAGGTTTTAATTACGAAATGCAAGGAAATGATTCTGGCTTTCGTTTTCGAGATATTGATTAAACGATGACTCTTCTCTTATCCTCTCTGCTTTCACAAATTGCGCATATATATGGCCTCACTCAACTTGACATTTTTGCATGCCGGTGAATTGACCGATTCTCTAACTTTACTGACATTTTTCATTAGATTAGAAAATTAATTATTTTCGTTGTTTTAGTAGTTTTTATTCAGTACAAAGAACATGTAACCTTATTTATTTTTTACCAATGTATTATTTTTGTCATTAAAAATATTTTAAATTAATCACTAAAATTTGTATAGTCAAAAGAATTATGTGTTTATCTGATGTAGATTGTACTGTTTAAGCTTCTTTTTCGGATAGAGGGATATTTTCCAACAATGTAAAAAACTCATTAAAAACGCAACTCTAGTGATTATCAAAGAAAACTGATTAAAATTAGATTTAAAACTTTAATGTCTACTTTTGTTGACATCACACATGTTACAAAGGTAGATGAGATGTTTTTGCATTAATCAACAATAATTTGTATCGTCAATGAATTTTACAAAGGTTCACTTACCATTTACATTGATACATTATCGTGTTCATGTTAGTTATTTGAGTTAGCATTGACTCATGAGTTAACCTACGGAAAGTGATTTAAGACAGTATTTTTAGTTGATTGAAAAAGTCCACATATTATTGAGAAAACAAAATATGTTTAAGATTATCTAAATGAAACAACAAATGTTACTACAGAATATGTATCATCTGTACGTAGTGCTCCACTGGAATATGGTAGTGTTGTGACAGTAGCTGCTTACATTGGACTCGAAAGTTATTTATTTATTCGTCCATTATGTGAGCAGATATCATTGAACTTCTGCTCTAGAGTTTATAAGAATGTTCTTTTTTGGAACTAGTTGAGAAGAAGTTTTGTTTGATGTGTTTAAAAAATGCGTGCTTGTTTTGTTTGTTTACTGTTATTTAGAACGAAAATGATGTAACGATTTTTTAGCAAATATTTCACTCATTGTTTACGCGTATCGTTCGTCTACGATTCTCAGATCCCTGACTGAAAAGTCTTTTCTATATTGTGAAAGCACATGCATGACGGACAATAGATCGAAACCAAGTCTACGTTAAACTAAATGATGATTGTGCCAGAGATGTATGTATGTTTTTAAAGAAATTTAATATTAAACGTCTGTTCTCAGACATTTGAAAAATTGATCCACAAACGTTGTATCGTCGAAATTTTAGGAGTATCAAAGGCTTAGTACTTAGTGCATTATAAATCTCAGCTCTTTACTGTATGTCTTCGTAGAGGTAACGGATCCTCGTTAGATCTAAGCAGTGTTATTTTCTGAAAGTAGTTGTTGTTGTTTAATACGCTTTAATGACTCACAAATTATCTTACATGATTTCTTCTATTCATGATGCTCGCGCTTCGTTCTGTTCGTTCAAAAAACAGATGAACCACGTTTGTTAATCAAAGAAACAAATAACAAGTACTGCGGTTTCATTGTTTATAATGGAATTTTTGCAAGGTGCACATGTTCTAAGAAAAAGCGCTATAACACTCAAAGAGACAAACATCTTTTTTCATGGGATTCTTTTTGAAATAATAAAAGGGGAAAAAAACGGTAATTACAGGTTTTTGGAAAAAAAAGTCACAAATCTTACATAACAAGGAAAACAAGTCTTTTTTCATCTGACTGTTAAGTGATTTATCAGAAAAAAAACAAAAATAAATGAAATACATGAAATCTGTGCACATTTGAATTGTGTGTGTTTCTTGTTCACTAATCTTCTCATCCTTAACTGTTAATTTTCTCTGACATTTAAAACAACTCTTCCTATTGTTGAACTAAATGAATGTACTTTTGTACAATTATTTAGACAAGTGCGTACTACGTAATGTTCAAAGTATATCTGAAGTATTTTACGAGTAAGAACGTAATTTAGCAAATACAGGTATTTGCTAAGTGTTTTATCAAGTATTTGAGCGTTAACTGGGTAAGTACTTGCCAAAAAATGTATGCAAGTATCCAAGGTTCTTTTCAGTACATGGTACGTGTTAAATCTAGAAACATTTTAACCAGATATTTTTGGTTGTAAGTAATTAAGTACTGGATCTGTCGAGCATTGTCAAGTATTCGCGCTGAAAAACAGACAAAAATTCCACTAACTATTATATGAGATAAAGAATAATTTAAACGATGATGATGAAGTAATCAGGCACACTAGACTATAATTAGTCATCTGAAAAACTTTTGTAGTTCCACTATCAACGTATGATTTGCATTTTTTCCTCATAATAGCAGGTGGCGATTATTATGCTGAACAAAGAGGTAAAAAAATAACAAACAATGGAGGTCTACAGCTAAATTCCCATTAGTCATATATTTACATCCAATCATTGAAAGAGAACGTACGTCAAATTGTACAAATGTATGTATGATCAATAATAATATGATAAAAAGAATAAAAATACCCAGCTTAACGCTTTTTTCCAGCTTGGTGCGTATATATATGATAATAATCTGTATAGTTCAGATATTTTTTTGATTTTTTAAAAAAAGAAATTCATTAAGTAAAAATTCTAAAAAATTTAAATAAAAAAGTTATTTTATTTTATCTTTCCAATTTTTAAATAATTCATTTATAAAATATTCATAAAAACAGCATGTTCTATAGCGTATAATGGTAAATATCTTGCTAATGCTAATAAAATTAAGAAAAGATGAAAACAGAAAATAAAAATAACTTTTTGTTTAAATTCAAAATTCATCTCTAGTGAACGTACTTGATCTAGTCAGTTGAATGTTTAATAAGTACTCAAAACAATTGGCAATTATTTTTATAATTACTCACTTGTCATGTATTTTTACTAATACTTCTCCAATATTCTAATACTTTGTTTTATTGTAATAAACTGCTTTTTGAGATTATTTGTCAAAGTAAAAAAATCAAGCTTAGATATAAATTTACCACTAAAAAAAAAGGCGAATATCGATTTCATTGTGCAAACAAATTATTTGTCCTAAGTATATCCACTAGAGATGAAATTTCTTTCTTAAAAACCCAAAAAAGTGTCTGAAATATGCACATTATTTCTATCTGTTGTAGTAGTATTCCCCAAGTATTCTTTAAAAATCTCATATAATAAAATTTCTTTTGTTCATACTTAGATATTTTTAAAAATAATACAAAAAATATCTTTATAATATTCTAAAAAATGGAATATATTAAATTTAAACTTCATATTTTCTCTTGTTTATTCTATTTTATATCTCGTTTGTTGTGATCGTTCTAACATTCTTCATTTATTCAAGTAGTCAGATATAGCAATGGTTGCTGCACAAGACACGTATTCAACGAATGATGATGTCACGGGATTTAATGATTGTGTGTCAAAAGAACTAATTGATCTTGTTTGGGGAACTGATGTTCAACAAGCAATATTTGATCGATGGTCACAAGGTTTTATTTTTAGTGAAAATGAACAATCAGCATTAATACAATTAGAAGGTATAATTATTTATTCGAACAAAAAAGAAAAATTTTTAACTTTTTTAATTTGTGTTTAGGTGGTCCATGTTCCGTATTAACAACCGTTCAAGCATATTTATTAAAAGAACTCATATTTTGTTCACGTTGTACTCATAATTGGCGTACCGCACCTAAAGACGAAATTGATGTGCATTTTTTAAACGCTCTTTTATCTATTATTACATTTCTTAGTCAACCACAACAACAAATCTTTATTTTAGCATCATTAGAACATAATTCTCAAACAACAACAATTCCTAGTACCACTTCAAAGAGTAATGATGCAACAAATTCAAATCAATTATCATTTGACACATTCCATTCAAAAATTAAATTTCATCATATTACAACTCAACCAGCGCTAAGAACATTTATCTATAGCCATTTGAAAATGTGGAAAGCAGGCTATGGTGTATTACTCTTTTTATATTCATGTCTAATGACAAAATCTATTCAAAAATTAATTAAAGAAATTGATGATGTAACAAGTTTACCATTAATTGATATTTTTCATGGTAATAAAAATATTATCATGACAATTTTTAGTCAAACTTCATTATTTTTTAAGGTCATGGTAGTCAATGTTTAACAAATTTATTGATTACTGGTATTGCCACTCCTCATTGTTTCGATGGTGAAAAAGATGTTGAAGGTTTAAAATTACACGGTGTTCCATCACAAGCAGCCATTGGATTTTTATCAACATTAGAATCATTAAATTATCTAGAAGTTGGATGGCATTTAAAAAATCCGAAATATCCATTATGGATATTGGGTTCAGAAACACATTTGACAGTATGTTTTAGTCGAGAAAAATCTCTAGTAGAATCATCTGATGATGGAGAAGTACAACGACAACCATTAGAAACACCATTAAAACGAACATTAAAAATATTTCGAAAATATGATACAGAAAAAAATGGTTTTATACAAACATCGGCATTAGATACAATTATAGGTAATTAGATTAAAAATAAAAAAAATATATTTAAATAATATAAAATATGTATGATGTTTTTTCATATTTAGATGAAATTAAAGAGTTTAAACCAATTACTGGTTTTCAATTGACACCTCAATCAACAATAACAAATTTAAAACGTAAAATGGATCCTGATAGTTTAGATATTATCACGGAACAAGCATTTATTCAAGAATTATTTCCAGACGAACAAAGTAGTAATAATCCAAAAAAACAACAATTAAAAAATAGTCCATTATCAGGAAAACCATTTGTTATCTATCATTATAATGGATTACCACGGTCAAATAAATCAAATATAGTCCACTATGTTAGTGGTGAAGCAATGATTGGTGATTATGGCTATGGAAATGAAACATCGCCACAAGCCATGCAACCTGTTGTACCAGGTAAGAAGAAAATCTTATCGTATTTTTACACATAATTTTAGTAAATTATTTTTGTATCCTATAGTCATTTCTAATTAATTATCAGCTTACTTAATTACTAGATACTATATTTATTCTCAGAATTAAATCTGAAATTTGTTACAATAGATCATAATTAAAATTTTTTTGAAAAAGAATCTTTTTTTCAAGTATTAAACTAAAATTTTTTTTTTGTGAAATATGAATGATGCTTTGTGTTTTAAGATTTGAGGAGCTATAAAAGTGACTATGGATCAATTACTCCGTTTCCCGAAGAGATTTTTACAGTTATTTATTATTGTACAACACTTCACAGTTTTTTTTTGTCGATTTTTTAGGTAGTTATTTGCCAATAACTGGTGTTTTACGAACAAAATGGGCTACAATTGAGATACGATGGGATGATGATGCGAGACCATCGTTAAATTAGTGATTAATATTGCATAGTATTGGTGCTTCTTATTTCCTTGTGACTTAATTATGTTGTTATATTTACCCCTAGTATGGGGTTTTAAAAAGTAATGAATCAGTAAGAGTATTTGTTCTTTATGCCGACTTTTTGTTTGAAATACATGTTTGAACTAATTATTTTATTTCTGTTTGTTCCTTAACTTTAATGACTTTTATTTTAAGCGATACATTTCACGTATGTTTTCTTATTAGCAACAAAACTAAATAAAATAAACGTGCATCATACTTAAACAAAAAAGAAGTGTACTATTCTTCGTATACAATATGGTTCAGAAAAATAATTTGTTCACCTATACAGTGTGACTTTGTTTTGTGTAACATTTCAAAATGAAACAAGATAGAGAGCTGACGCAAATGTCATCATATAGAGCATCATCAATTATCTCTATGCAAGTACTTTCAAGCTTTTGATTTTCTTTTGCTCTTATTTTATTAGGAAAAGACTAAAAGGATGTCGTTTCAATTGATCAATCTCTGATTCCGAGGGCTACTCGTTAATAATTGCTCGAGTTCGTCACTTTCTTTAAGTATTGAATGATTCAAATAGACCGCTTGTCAAGTCTGTTATATAATCAATGGACTTATAGCAGTTGTTATAACTGTTTACTGGATTATTAACAAATAGTCAAAAACAACAGAACAGTCCACCTTCTCATTCTCTCCTTTACACTCGTCAGCCTTCATCCTTATTTTTAGAGCACAAAGAAAAGTATTCAATGTTTCATCGCTATTCATTATTTCTATGTGGATACAGTTTATGATGATTGCGTGAAGTTATCGTAACTCATATAAAACTCAACCTTTTTAGTTCGTTATTTTATTATTTTGAAAAGAAACACTATACCTATTATGTTTAAATGTGGAAAATTCTTTAACTTTTTTCTTCGTCTAGTATGTTAAATAGTCAAATTTGAACCAAAAACCAAAATTTTGTTGTTATTTACAGGATATTAATAAAGTCATTCTTTGTGTCGTAAAATTAAGCTTAAAGTAACTCCTTTATACTCTAGAAAAAACAGCACACTAGAGTATGTTTAGAAGAGCTAGTGTGACACAGCGAATTCCTACATCTTCATATAAAAAGAAAAATTGAATTTGCAAAAAGAAAAATTTGAATAGTTTGGAATTTTCTAATAATTTCGGAGTTTCTTAGTAGATCCTTCTACTTTCACATTTTACGACGAAACATTTAATCAATCAATCAATTTTATTTTCTATCTTTGATGTTAAAAGGTACAGCAAAAGTGACAAAAAAGTTAAATAAAAAAATAAAATTTTCACAAGGTCACACCATTGGACACTTTTCTTCGCAGACAATTGAGCGTCGAGTCTTTGAGAAAAAAAGGATAAACTTTGAAGAATGGCAGTGACATGAGAAAACTAGAAAATACAGAGACCACCATTTATTCTCAGCCACTGAACAGTATAGACAATGGTACTGATTCAACTGATGGGTTTGAAACTATTTTTCGAAAAAATTGAGAGTTATAACTTCAGTTATCAAAAATATTCAATCATCTTTCATTCATACTGAATAGTTCGGATTGCTCAATCGAGAGTAAATTTTCAATTTTTTATTCCTATGTGAATAAGTGAGAACAATAGAAGTACTAACGTTATTTTATACGTTGATGAATAAAAATTAACTTAACTATTATCATAAAAGAAAAGATAATTCGGTAGATATTTAAAGTGTCATAAGAATCGTCATTTTTGAAAAGTCGATATGAATACGAAGTTAGATCAGATTTTTTTTATATTCTAAATACGTACGTTTTTCTTCGTGCTAACTTTATTTATTCCAAACGTTTCGATTGATAGTTCAATCTTTCTCAGCGGATATAAACATTAATGAAATTTTAATTAAAAATTACATAAATAAAAACAATTTGAACAGAAAACTTTAACATAGGGATATTTTGTCCATTTTTTTATTTTTATATAATATAGACAATCGATAATAAAAAATTGTAGTTTAATAATAATAAAAAAAATAAAAAGTATCCCTATGTTAAAGTTTTATGTTCAAATTGTTTTGTTTATGTAATTTTTAATTAATTTAATTAATGTTTGTATCCGCTGAGGAAGATTGAACTATTGATCGAAACGTTTGGAATAAATAAAGTTAGTACGAAGAAAAACGTACTTATTTAGAATATAAAAATACATAAGAATCATGTCCTTTCGATTTGTTCCTAATTGCTCTCTCTCAATTTCTTTCCACAAATTTTTTTTTCAGTTCGTCCCATTTTTTAAATAGTTATTCTACAAAAGTTCTCTTATATTTAACTTAACTTCCAGAGATGAAAAAAAAAAAATATTATTAATACATTGTCCTTACTCCATATGAATTTTTACGGCCCTTCTGCATGTTATGGCTAATTGTAGATTTGTTATCTCCTCTTTTTCCTGAGTACTTTTCAATTTTTCATCAAATTCTCTCTGTGTTCTTCAAAATAACAGGGTTTTCGATCCATGTTCGAGCATGTCTTTCAGCACCATCACGCAGAAGGATCTGAAGTCCAAACTCGTAAACGGAAAAAAATTACAATGAAATTGATGAAAAATTGAAAAGTACTCATGAAAGAGACAAATCGACAATTAGCCATAAAATGTGGAACGGCCGGAAAAATCCATATGGAATAAAGACAATATATTAATAATATTTTTTTGTTTCTATCTCTGCTCGGCTTGCCTGCGTAATGTGACACTTCGCTGATCAAGTTTTTTTTTGAATGTTTTTCGTCGGAGAATCGATAGGGGCACATCACTAGACGCAGCTTTTCATACTGATCACGAATCTAACTTCGTTGTTAAAGAAAAAATTAATTTTCAATATAAAAATTTTAATTTCAATTTTCTGATCTAGACATTTTATTCAAAAAATTTTAAAAACATACCATTGAATAGAGAATTCCAAAACCGACTTTTCTAGGTGTGCAGAAAGGTTTGGAAAAAAGCTTTTTTTACCAAACGAAAACCCGTTAGTTCTTCTACAAACTCTCTTCTAGAAATTTTTCATATGCACAGCTCAATTCGCAGAAAATCAGAGCTATATCAGGAGTTCTCAAAAAATAGGGACTTTTTCTGTCACAGCGTTACTCGGCGAAAAATCTTTCTGGAAGCTCGAATCTTGAACCGAAAATCTTCATTTTTATATCGTAAGTAGAGTTTGATGAGCTACGTCGAATGGCGCCTGAACGAACTTTCTAGCTCCTACAGTTTTTGAGAAAAATGCAAATTACTATATCAAAAATGTCACCACGTTACCTTTGGACAAACTGTCTGGAAGTTAAGTTAAATATAAGAGACCTTCTGCAGAATAATTATTTAAAAAATAGGACTAATTGAGACTAAAAAAAAGTGGGACAAACTGGAAAAGAATTTGTACGAATTGCGAGAGAGCAATTAGGAGCGAATCGAGAGTAAACTCATAAGAATAATATAAGTGAAGGTCACACTTATTAAAATTTAAAAAAAGATATTTATTACTAGTTGATTTTGGCTGAATCCAATATACTTGGATTATTAATAAACATTGTCTATTATCGAAAAATAACTCATTTACATGTCGCATAACGTCTAAAGTGAATTGGTTATTTACGATGGCTTTTTCAATATAGTTTTATTTTATGTCAATTAATAAAATATTTATTTGAATTTGATAGAAACGGTAATTTATATTCTGTACTGTGTATAAAACCTTGTGTTTAATAGTACAAGAATGAGGATGCTGTGTATTATGGTATATAGAGTTGAATTCATAATAGGAATTCTTTTAAGATAATATATTACTTTAAATTGGGTTTAATACTATGACTATTTTGTTTTTCTATACTTTATCATGCTGAGTCTATATAAATTTGACTAATTATCGACGATTTCATATAAGATCATTATCATCTTGTCTTACAATAATAACATTGTATAATATTTACTAAATCAATTCTTAACTATCTTCTCTTATAAAATCATATAATTGAAACCGTCTAATACTCTTTCTCTTTCTCTCTGATGTAAAAACATTTCTCTTTCTCTTCATCACCATCAGCTGTATCATTTATGATTAATTAATTTTCAAGTTCTTTCTAATACTTAAACAACAATATAAGAGTTAATAACAGATATGTTATAAACGACAACTGGATCATAAGTGAGTTAATTAAATAACTATAGACTTTATCATCTTCACTCGTCCAAAAGTTAATATTCAATATTCTGACTAATAATAAGGTCTAGACCTCTGAAGTATATAAAGTGCCTATTCATTATGTGAAATTCTCATTGTTTGTAGAAAATAAATGAATTAATAGATAAAATTTGCTGCTGTTTGTCACGAATATAGGATAAAATCATCTATGTATGTTTTTGTGAGATAATTTATTGAAATAGTTCAACTTTTTTTTTTTTTTGTCCAAAATGATCCATTGGACATTGACGATGTGTGTGTGCATTTAGTGTTCAATATCACTACAAATCTTTTTATACTTTGAATAATCGACATTAATGAGAGGTAATCGAACCCTTCAGTGTAAAGAAGGATGATACTTGATTTTCCCATGAAAATTTGTGCTACTATTACTGCTAATTTCAATGTCAAGTGCATACGTCAAAGTACTCTTAGTGTTCACTAATTCAAATGATTTAGGTCTCGTGTTAGTAAGAGAGAAGAAGAAAAAAAACAATCGATGTTTATCTTATAATCGTTTTTTTCCTGAGGACTACGAGTGCATTTTGTTAGTATATGTTGCAATCGTATATAATGTTTTTCTTTCTTTAATCATTGACATTGAATCATCATGCTCGCTCTCTCGTTGTCCAAAATGAGTTCAAGAGAAAGAGAGTATAAATGCCTATCAACACATAGTTCTCAAGATTTATTTATATAAGATATAAATAATCACGATTAGATTTTAAAAACTATATCTAAGAACAAGATAATAGATGAATATCAGAAAA